TTGATTTAGTTTAATGCCGTGCTTTTTGTAATAACAGAATATTATATGAATTCACGATATTTTAACTAGAGGAGTACGCTAGTTTAATTTACATTTATATACCTTACAAATTGAGATAATGCGGTATAAGGTTACATTGTTTAATTTTCATGTTTGGAAGATTAAAAAAAGTTTAAAATATCTTATTATCTCTAATCTAATGGCTGATTGCAAATAGAAAAATAAAAGTTTGGGAGATTCATATTATTAACATGAAAAAATAATTGAAGCTCTATCCACCATCGTATATAAATCACTTGTTTTTTTGAGAAATCGAACCTGTGACTATCACGAAAGGTCTGAATGATTTATCTATTTTCTATACTAGCATTGCCCGTGGCTCCGTCCGCGTTCAGATGACCAAAGACCAAATTCTGAGAGTTTACATATTAGTATACTCTTACAATGGCAGTTTTTGTATTTTTTCTCAGAAATGATATATTTTCCCATATGTTGACCCGGATAACCAGCTATTACTATACCAAATTTCATTAAAATCCCTCCAGTGGTTTTTATGTGATGCGGTAACAGACAGACAGACAGACAAAAATTCTAAAAACTATAGATTTGGCCTCTGTATCGATAATAATGTTTATTTCAATAAGATTTTCCAAAAAATATTTAATGTACAGATTCGGCTTAGTTACAATTTTGTATTCAACATAATTTTAACAAACAATTCTCTATCGTGTATTCAATTCTATAGACTAAAAACAAACCTCAGTAGCCTATTTCCCAACAACCAACAAAGGTATCAAATAATTTCAATACTCAAGACGACATTGCAGCGCTTTTGTCGCCGCATCACTCCATTCAATATGTAGCTTTTCGTGCCACATCCTGAACTGTCGCGGGACACTGAAACGTATCGACAGAGCTTAGAAAGGACCTACTTTTAATTGTATTAACGTATTTCTTTATATTAAAAGCATTTATTGTACGCTCTGATATGTTCCTAGGTCTTCTAAGAATTATATATTTACACTAGCAACTCACCCTCGCTTCGCTCGGGTTCGTGCATAGGTTGCTTCCCCAAACAAACTTTTATCCCCATTTGCACCCCTTTAAGAGATGATTTCCGGGATAAACACTATTCTATGTCCTTCCCAGGGTCTCAAACTATCCTCTTACCAAATTTTATCTAAATTGGTTTAGTAGTTTCGGAGCCTATTCGGTACAAACAAACAAAAATCTTCGTCTTTACAATATTAGTAATAGACCAAAAAACTTGAAAAAAATAAATAAAAACCGACTTCCAGGCACTAAAATGAAAAAAATAACTAAAACGGGGCTTTCATTTAGAATAAATACCTAATCAGATAGATAGATATCTTCGAAGTCAATGTGGACTAAAATTAAGACCATAGCGTCAATTTTTTGTACTTCTTTTTCTGTGAAATAATAGTAAAATACAAAAATTGCTATAAATGCATTAGGATTAAGTAAAGCGAATACGAATTGTTACAAATTTTTTTATAATTAATTTTGAACGCCTTCGTAATACGAAACAAGTCACCTTGCAATTGTCAAGTAGAACAATGAAAAATCTTTTTTTTCTCATCTCATTGCAATGAATCGAAATCGCTTATTATATTATATACATGATTGACAGTTGACACATACCTACAGCTATCAATAATTTCATTGTTTGTTTTTAAATTACAAGTAAATTAAATTTAATTACCTATATTATACAAAAAACTTAAACTACGTATTGGCACTAATACTATTACAGATAAACTAATTTAGTACCCTTAGAAAACTATTTTGGCGTCATATTTAATGAGAGGTAGTCTTAGGGTAGAAGACACGTATCTATACAGATAAATAAAATTGAAGTGTCTGTTTGTAATGTCAAAATAACAGCTTTTTACTAAATGCATATGAAATTATATACCTACGGTACTTATAAGACAAACACAATTTTTAACATTTTTGTTTGTCCATCTCTATCCATCTGCTATCTGTCTGTTTGTCTGTTTGTTCCGGCTAATCTCCAAAATAGCTAAACTTATTTTGATGGGACTTTCACTGGCAGATAGCTGCCGTTATAAGGAGTAACTTAGGCTACTTTTATTTTAGAAAAAAAATTAAGGTTCCGTTCAAAAATATTAAGACATACCTAGGGATGCACCCGAACGAAGCGAGGGTAAGAGTAAATAATATAACATTTTATTATGTCATTTACCGATGTGTCTCAGTATACTTCCGAGTGCTCGGTTTGACAGGTTCTATTCATTATAGACAATGTTGCCACATGGAGAATAACATAATGTAAGATAACATGGTTTTATATAAATGAATTTGAAATGGATTGCATTCGCAAAATGGAGTAGTAAAATATAGAAACTTTTTTTAATTAATATTTAAATATTTCCCAGTTATGCAATACTATCAAAATTTTTATTTTCTTCCAATTTTTATATTAAATTTTATAACGTTTTTTCGCTTGTTGCTATTTAAACCTGTTAAATGCAGGTGGGGGTTTTAATATATTTTATAATAATTATCAATTGATAATATCTACTATAGAGTTGCATATACTATAGAGAACTCTTGCATCCACAATAACTCTATCTAGAAGAAGATTGAATGGTTAAAATGATACCTAGTAAAAATAACGTTAATAAATATAAACATTTAAATGCTACCTTAATATATATGTTAAAATTTTATTTCTCCGCTGGCTTAATTTTTTTTATTATGGTTTTGTATCCAACGTCAATAGCTATCGCAGTATAACCGAACAAAAAAATCGGCTCTCCATTTATTAGTATAAATTTTATTTGTTGATTAATAGATTGATTGACACTTCAGCCAGACTGAATCAAAAGATACAAACCCTAGAAATGTGGAAACGAACGGACGGCGTAAGTTTGAATTGATAAAAATAAAAAATATGTAAATATATTACTCGTACAGTAAAATGTCGTATTAAAAACATAATGAAGTAGTACCTCTAAAAATTCATATGAACGAAAATAACATATAATTTGACTAATTAGTAGAGTTCGGTTTGAGGGTAGTTTATGAAATTTCATAACTGAGTGTTGAAAGTTTCGGTACAACGTCGCTTTTAAAACTGTATGTTGAAATGAATTATCATTTGAAATTGACAACACAAGAGATCGTAGGTTTAAATCTTAGACTTATAGAATGGCCTAAGCAATACTGTCATGAAATTGACAAGTCTCTAAAAAGAGAGAAAGCGAACATGCGGCCAATACCTGTCTTTTAATAATTTAAATTAATAAATGGAATATAATAAAAAATATAATATCATAATGGTATGTAAATTGCTTATAAATATCTACTTTCATTTGTTGTATTTAAATGAATACAGAAGACTTCTGGCCGCACATTCGTTTTGTCTCTGTCGCGCCTGTCCGCCATTTTCAAGCGATGACTGGCAAATAAACACTCAATCTACTCCCTGTTTATGGTTTGAATCGTATATTAAATAAAATATACCTAGTCTAGTTAAAAAAATGTACTAAAAAGAACATATAATACAGACTTCAATAATGTCACAAGTTTGCCTGTAAGAGATCCCTTTTATCGTGATAAGGCTTTTGCGTTTTTAATTATATTTTCTTAATGTACCATTTTCGTTTGCAATAAAGTGTTATAAAAAAAAGTTCTTACTATCTTTCCTATAAAGAAGGTAAAGTAGATATGTAGAACCAATTCAAGAATCATTTAAAATTTCAAAACTTTAAATTTTAACGTAAAGATGACTCCAATACCATTGATATATCTGTCGATCATGATATAATGCATAGCCATAGGATAATTTATACCATAAGGGGTAGGAAAGGGCGGCTCGGTTCGCTATACGACGTAGTTGCTCTACACGTAACATAAACGTATGATAATCACTACGCCCTTTGCTATCATTATCATTACCAATACAAACGGTGAATAGCCGGCTAATGCATTCCGCCCAGACATGGGCATTTTTGTACGTAAATGAAGCTTTTTATGGGAAATTGGTCTTTCTTACCTTTGATGGGGACCTAATCTTAACTTTAACTTGGAAATTCTTAAGTTTTTTTAGAAAATCGTTAAAGTATTTTATGAGACGTAATTAAATTGTGACGCGATTCTAACGTTAGTGTCTTTTTAATCGATTTTGGAAAGAAAGAGATTTGGTCTTTTTTAATGTATGTAACGCGATATCTTTAAGAATTTTTAATTATCGATGTCTAATTAAATGTCTATTAAAAATTAAAAATAATTTACCATTATGGGTAGAAAAATTGCTCGAATCATTGTAATTATTATAAACTAGCGACTCACCCTCGCTTCGTTCAGGTTGGTCCCTAGGTACTTTTTGATGCTTAGTATGGAATAGATTTTTTTTCATATATTTTTCCGATGTTTTAATAGTTATTCTGCTATTCGGGGTGAAGATAAATCCAACAAAATAAAAATCATAAAAATCGATTCAGCAGTTATCGAGTTATAAGTGTTGTAACAAACCCGAATTTGTTTTGTCCTATATATAGATTAATATCCTAGATACCTAATTTATATTTAGGGTGAGATAAGGAATAAATAAGCTACCTATTTAAGTATCACTTGACATCGAGTCAATATTTCAATCGTTCTTTTCTAAAATCATCCAGTCAATTTTTTATTTGGAAATTCCAAAAGTGAACCTTTGGAATTTTCATCATTTCTTATTATCTATACAGATAAATAAAATTGAAGTGTCTGTTTGTTATGTCAAAATAACAGTTTTTACTAAATGCATAAGAAATTATATACCCTACTTATAAGAAAAATACATTTTTTTTATTATTTATTATAAAAACATTAGTTCTTAACTTAGAAGTAAACGACTTTGTCCAAGAATGTGCTAATAAAAAATACTTCTTCTATGGACGAAGCCGCGTCAAAAACTAGTATTTGAATAATAAATATTATTTCTTACAAGCTAATCAAATATATTCCTACAGCAGGCTACCAGAAGACAAAGTAGCAGCTCCCAGTTCGTCGCCAACGATCGCGGAGCAGCCCCTCGACCTGAGCGCCAAGTCGACCTCCAGTACCAGCGGTACTCCACCCCCTGACACCAAAAACCTCGATAATGCTAGGTGAGTTATGCTTTAAAACATCATTTATTGATATCAACAGTTTTTTTTAATTATACAGTGGAATACGTATAAATAACGTACAATTCAGTCAAATATTGAGATATAATTAATCAAAGTTGTGAAGTAACAAGTTTTAGGGAAATTAAAAATTCTTGAGTTTCTACTTAACAGTGTATAATTTCTAACCTCATTTAAATACTCGTAAATACATTGCTTATATTATACAAATAGCATATCTTATTTTTATAAACATTTTGAAATTAAATATGTTTTATTTCAAACACTTTATCAAATTATGAACAGTTATCAAGCAAACAAAAAATCTTTTTACTTTATTGTTCTTTCTGTTTGTTTTGGTTTTTATTGTCCCACACAAAAATCGAACCCAAGCCCCAAATTGGCACCCTTACCACTATTCCAAACCGACAAATAACACTATATCCATTGTTATCTACATATTAAGTGTAACGTATAAAATTTTTGCGCTGCACCGTTCTAAAACAGTAAGCATAACCGTAAACTCATTAGGTCACTAGAAAAAGCCTTATTAGAATAATGGATTTTCACCCACACCCAAGAGACTACTATTTTCACCTGACGAAATATACTCGGTGCCGCATAAAATAGATGGCCTTTTAGATACGAGTTGGGAAATTTACATCAAATTAAGGCCATACTGTTGTTTAATCCAATTTACTGTATTGATACTGTTTTAAAATGTTTTGTGAATGCTACTCGCTAATCACTTTGTATGGGTCTACCAGAATAAAGAAATATAAAAAGGCGAGTTTGTTTGTTTCTTTGTTTGTTTGTTTGTTTGTTTGTTTGAACGCGCTAATCTCAGGAACTACCAATCCGATTTAATTTTTTTTGTTTGCATTAGATAGCCCGTTTATTGAGAAAGGCTACAGGTTTTATATCATATTTGTAATATGTAGTCTATCTATTCCATACTAATCTTTAAAACAGACCTCTACTACTAACTATAAGTCACTAGTATAATTATATTTAGTTAACGACTTCTATAGATGGCCTCTCGTTTTATATTATGCTAATGGATTACCTATGTGCCTAATAGTTACCTAATATAGTATCTATCTATATACTAAACTTCATCCAAATCCGTCCAGCCGTTACAGCGTGAAGGACTAACATAAAAACAAGCAAAGCGAGAGTAAGTCGCTAGCACAATACAAAACAAAGTCACATAAATAAAATGATATTAAAAATATAAGATATGTATGTAGGTATATATAATTCTTAATATGATTTTGTTTAATATAATAAGATGATGCTAAAATAACTTTAAAAGTTAACGCTCAAAAATCAGTAAAGAACATCTTGAGAGTCTCGACCCAATTTTATGGAATGAAAAAAAGTTCGTCAAAATTATCTTTCTTATAGAAGTTTTAGACGGTCTTCTACTTTAGCAGACGACAAGTACATGGAAATTGTACATATATATATATATATATATATATATATATATATATATATATATATATATATATATATATATATATTTAAAATGTACCGTTAAAAAAATAATACTATTAAGTAGGTACATATTTTGTTTAAAGCACTATCTTCAAGAAAACCTTTCAAAAATGTACTTTTTCCCAATTTTCCTCGTACATAGTGTTAAGATAAAACATAAGACTAGGAAAGAAGCGTCTACACCATGCACACCAAAATCAAAATTATTCATACAAGTTCGTTCTAGTAACGTAAATGTAATATTGTGTTTTCGATTTGGTTTCTTCTTCTTTCACTCCGTAATGTAACAACGTATTGATGGGATTTTATTATATAGAAATACTTTTTGGGCTGCAGAGTAATATAGGTCTCTTTGCCATGAAAATATGTCTCCCATGATAAAAAAAAATATTATGAATTATCCTCATAATAGAACCACAAAGTTGTTTTGTGCAAGTGTCATTTCTTCAAACGCAAAAGTTAATTACAAAGCAAACAATTCAACTTCACGTTAACATATAGGAAAAGTTTCAGGAAAAGTCGATTCGCCATGACCATGGTATATTACCCATGGCTGGCTTCCTATTGACTATACTGGATTACACAATGGTGTTTGAACCTATTAAACTGTGAAAACCGCGGTCGAGGACCTTTGACAGCCATTGTGATTTATAAGTGCTATGTGCGTAAATACGAGTGGTTTGAAATATTTTATATTAGCTCTAGCTCTATTGTTCATATTATTTTAAACTAGCTACTTACCCTCGCTTCGCTCGTTTGCGTCTCTACGTACGTTTTAAATAGATATAAACAGTTATTGAGAATGCGGTTTAGGAGGAAAACTTATGTTATTGCAGATTTTTCTATATCGATCTTTTGCTCAATGAACAAAAATAAATCTATCCCACAGGAATCGTACATTTTTCTGGAATAAAAAGTAACCAATATGCTATTCCAGACTAGGACCTATCTCTGTGCCAAATTTCATCCAGATCCGTTCAGCCGTTCTGGCGTGATTGTGTAACAAACATCTGTCTATCCAAACTTTCACGTTTATATAGCATTAAGATAAATTATGAAGAAGTAGAGTCAAATTTAATAATTTGCAGAAGTATTAGTATTTAAGAATTCGTGTAAAATAATAATTTATAGTAAAATGTAGAACAAGTTTATTTTAATAGGAAAAATTGCTCATGTTTATTTCTTACAAAAAAAAATGTGAGACAAAAAACAAGACGTGAATGTTTGTTAAATATTGGTATTCAAAACTTCAAATATTCTTTTTAAAATTGATTAATTTTTGAGTCATGACAGGCATATTCAAAGTAAAGAGACACACTCTACGGCTCTACATAATGTAGAGTCTTTATGTATTATGTATTCAGCCTTTTTTTTACTTTTTACAGTTTTTTTTTTAATTTTAATTATATTTTTTAACATCCCATCGCTGGGCACTGGCCTCCCTTCAATAAGAGGAGGATCAGGCTATAGTCCACCACGCTGACCAAGTGCGGGCGGACTGAACATGTCTTTCAAAAATTTGCTAGGTTCTATCAGACTTGCAGGTTTTACTAACAATGTGTTTCTTCACCGTAAGACAATATTAATCATGTTGGAAATTATTCACACATAAAAATAATCAGAGGTGCAAGACCCGGGATTTGAACCCGCTTCACTCGGTTTCCCAAGCGAGCGTGTTACCACTGGGCTACCACTGCCTCTGCTTTATAAAAAAATATCCAATTATAGTATTACGAAAAGATTTTCCACGTTTCAATTTAAATACTATCATAAAAATGTAGATACGAAATTCGCATTCGAAATAAACAGTGCATTGAATCATCATATGAATAAATATTTCATTTCGGTGTCAAAGCACTGGTATCGTAAGTCAACGCTCTCGCGTCATATTAAGATTACGAAAGAAATTTATTTACTCGAAGTTTTATTATTCATGACTCATCTCAAGAAATAACCTTTGGAATCGGAAATAGGAGTCGGAATACAGGAAACGGAGGTGCAGGATCGGGTCCCGTTTGGTGCAAACGTTAAAATTTTTATTTAATTTTTATTTAGAAACTGATTATGTATTACTTTACTGTATCCAACATCCATCCCTAATGGTATTTATTTTTAGTAAAAACTAAGTAAACTTCATCTAAATCGGTCCAGCGGGCTTACACGTTCACTCATAAAACATTTACAATAAAATTGTGATTTAGTTAAATAATAACTAGAGATGAAAAATTTGTTCCTCTTGATATTGTAGACGTGCATCTTTATATATGTATATATATATATATATATATATATATATATATATATATATATATATATGTGTGTGTGTGTGTGTGTGTGTATATTATGTATATAATTCTTTTTCGTCTGTGTGCGTGTATGTCACTGAACTCCTGCTAAATGACTAGACCGATTTTGATGAAATTTTTGTATATGTTTGAGAGGTTCCCTGAATGGTTTAAAATTACAACTGGAGATGTCGCTGCAGTTGGGTTCAGGACAACGTCTGTCGACTCCGCTAGTATATTATAATCACGATAATTAGAAGTGTTATGCTTATATTTTAAGTTCGTCTAATATCATCTGAAAAATAAATGTTTTTACAATTGGTAGAGATGACGGATGTTTTTTAAATGCCAGACTGACAAGTTATCTATACATATAATAAAATTGTAACTAAGTCGAATCTGTACATTAAATATTTTTTGGAAAATCTTATTGAAATAGACAATATTATCGATATAGAGTCCGAATCTGTAGTTTTTCGAATTTTTGTTTGTCTGTCTGTTACCGCATCACAGAAAAACCACTCGAGAGATTTTAATGAAATTTAGTATGATGATAGGTGATTATCCGGGTCAACATATGGGAAAATATATCATTTCTGAGAAAAAAATACAAAAACTGCTTTGTAAGAGTATACTAATATGTAAAGCCTAAGAATTTGGTTTTTGGTCATATGAACGCGGGCGGAGCCGCGGGCAATGCTAGTTTTTTAATAAAGTTATTAAAATAATTAATCAGATGTAATTTATGGATATATGATAAGCTCTTAGGCTATTAGTAGAAAATAGCTGATCTATGTTTTGCATAATTTTATTACCTAATTTAAATTTCTTTCGAAAGTGTTCATATTATAAATATTCGCTTCAAGCGGATCTTTAAGAAAATATTTTATATTCATACGTTAACTAAAGAAACTTGAATGGTTGTCATCTTTTATTATTATTTTTTTAAATTATAATTAGTAATGCCGTCCAAAGCAATGTTATTTGAATATATAATAAATGTTTCTTACATAAAGTTATAGTGTCTTTGTGTTTGTACTCTAGAACTTCATAAATAAATCAAAAATGTTATGTACAATGTGTATCTTGTTAATAATATTTTCAAATAAAAATATCGAAAACAAAATAAATAATCAAAGAAGGTAATATATTACTTAACACAAGCAAAACGTACTTAAAAGCTAGAAATTATATGAAAAATCTTAAAAATAATAATCCAGTAACATCGAATAGTTAATTAATGAGCAAACGATGCAGTCGATTCGCACTTGACCTATATTTTAAGCATAATTCCTACAATGGCGCACTGCCCTTTCCGTAATACGCCCTCAGGGGTTGGACTTAGAATTTATATCTGCCATGGGGTTGTTATAGTACTTCTACCCCCAACGATAAATGGGAAGAATCATATTTGTAGTGTCTTTATAATATGGAAAAATCTCTTATAAAACTTATAGATTTTTGTGTATTATGTGATAGTACTTATTTTTTTTCTTAGCTTGGCTAAAGAAAATATTTATTTATTACATTTTTAATTTATATATTAAGTTTTATTGCTCTAATAAATGCAGTTACCCAACTTAATCTCTAGGGCATTCTCTAGCAATCAACTTAGAGCTCAAAAAAGCAAAATTACTTAGCGAACTAAAATCAAGTAGTGACTAAATTGATACTTATTAAATAAAGAAAAATAATTATAACAAGGCAGTTGTAGCCCGGTGGTAACGCGCTCGCTTGGGAAATCGATTGAAGCGGGTTCAAATCTACCTCTCTATATTTTCATGTGCGAATTATTTTGAATGTTATTACCACTTGTCTTACGGCGAAGGAAAACATCGTGAGGAAACCTGCATGTCTGAGAGAACCTAGAAAAAGGCCAACCCGCGTGGCCAGCGTGAATTGTCGTATTGTAGGGAGCCCGTGCCAAGCAGTGGGACGTTGAAAAGGGTTAAATACATACAATACATTCATACAAAATAATATAGCACAATATTTTTAAATTATACATAAAATTTACATAAAGTTTTTGTTCCACAACTTCAATATTAAGGTACAATTGTCCATTTCCAATAAAATAGCAAGATGAAATCTCCAATGCCCCTAACGCATCATTGAGCCAGCAAACGGGCTCTCATTACTCGAAATGTCCGCATGAACTAAGTTCAAAGCGTACACCGTACAAGAACGAGGCACTGTCTCGATTCAGCACCGATATTATGCACGATACCAAATCGATAACAGAATAAATTCATTCTGAGCCCGCGATGTGGGTCGCGCGACTCGCCAAAACAAATAAAAATGCATCGATAGTCGACGGTGCATCGACCTTGCATCCTCACCCCGCTAAACACCAATATGACCCCCTTCCCCTCCTAATAAGGTCCGATATTCCCTGTCAACGATATCGAAAAATAAGAAAGTAAAACCCAAGATGAAACTAAAGACGACCGTCCCGATTCACAGCAGAGCCGACCGTAAAAGTGCGCCGTAAAGTTTCATTTCGTGATATCCCGATATATAAAAGACGGGAAGATAAAGACGCATTCATAGTACGTTATCGCCGAGTCCGTGAGTAAATATTTCGCGTTTTACGTTATCTTGAATTAATGCAGTTTTGAAATATTGAATTTAGTTTTGCGACCGATTACCGGTTGATGGCCAGCTGTCGACCCACATTGTTTAGTGATTCATGAAGTCAAACTTGGGATTAAACGGTTATCTGTGTTTAAAGAACAAATAAATTTGTTTAATGTGCTACGGAAATATTACAAAATAAACTTTTAGATTACGGCTGTTGCAATAAATATAATATGAATTAGCAATTCTCGTATTACTAATATTATTTTAGTGGCTCAAGTTTGCACCTTTCACAATTAGCTATTCATCTAAAAACAATTGAAATTTAATAAACGTATTGATAATTTATGTAATATTTTAAAAATTATATTATATTGCAATTTAAAAAGAGTCACCCGTCGTGCCCTTATTTTCCTCAATGTGCGGTAGCCCCTATCCTTTTGTCCATTTAACCCGTTAATATAATTCAACGTATATTGTCTTATGACCTTTAGCTTTCAAGTTTTAAAATGTTATCCTGAAATTGAAGCAAAGTAATGGATTCTCTTACTATAGCGTTTTCATTGTATATCGCCTGTAAGATTATTCGTGATGTGAAACTTAATAGTTTTATTTATACATATATCATTTGGAAAGGATAATTCTTTTACTTTTTATTCTTATGAAAATTTTAAATAACGTACGTACAAAATTCCAGTCAAGTTCCTAGATTTTTACAGTACATTTTGTTTGTTACAGAATAAAACGGGCAGTCCTCGAAGGCTCCAGTAACAGTGCTACGAGACGAGCCTACACTGAAGATGAACTGAATTCTGCTTTGCGGGATATCCAATCCGGAAGATTAGGAACGCGACGAGCCGCCGTGGTCTACGGCATTCCTCGCTCGACGCTACGTAACAAAGTCAACAAGTTCGGTCTTACGTCGGATACTGGCCAAGAATCGGATCCGGATAGCGATCCTGATAAACCAGAATCGCCACCATCCGTTATCCTTAAAATACCGACCTTCCCACCCCCTGACGAAAAGAGCCCCTCCCCAGCGACCCCAGTCACAACTCCAGTTACCCCAATAACTCCGCTGCTGCCTCCACAACCTTCCCTCAATCCACCCTCACAACTTCTTCTCCCGCCATCAGTCTTCGCGGATCCACCTTCCTCGCAGCATCTTTTCACCTCGTTGAGTGATGTTATAGCGAAAAGCATCAGCCAAAAGTTCCAACAGCCACTAGATAGACCACAACCGTCGGACCTTCCTTACATGAGAGCGCCCGATAGACATGTATCCGTAATAAAAACTCCTCCGGACAACCAGAGAAATTATGCAATGCCCAGCAACTCCAAAGCTAACCCCAATAACGGCCAGCCAGCTACTGGTGGAAAAGGTACTCGACCCAAACGAGGAAAGTACAGAAATTACGACAGAGATAGCTTAGTAGAAGCCGTAAAAGCTGTTCAACGCGGCGAGATGTCAGTCCACCGCGCGGGCTCGTATTATGGAGTGCCGCATTCTACACTAGAGTACAAAGTGAAAGAGCGGCATCTAATGCGGCCGAGAAAACGAGAGCCGAAACCCCAACAGGAAGTCAAGCCTCAACCTCCAAAACCCCCACCGAAGCCTCCTACAAAGTTCACGAACGGGTTGAACGGACCCGAGAACTACCCTAACTACCCGTTTTGGCCGGGAAGCTTTGCACCGCCAGCTCCGGACCTGTACGCGTCGCATATGATGAGGCGTCTCCGTGAAGAGGCACCGCCACCCGCCAACGGGTCCTTCCTAGAGGGCATCATTCGCTCGAGTCTAGAACGACCGGGCGCCTTGATGCAGCGGCTGAATGCGCCTGCGTCTCCACCCGGGAGTGGCATGGTAGGGTTGGGGGTGAGTGGGCTGAGGCGGCGCGGGGAACTAGGTGAGGAGCCCGCAGCACGACGACCTCGCCTCGACTCCGATCACCAGCTAGCGGCGGAGATGCGCGAGGCGGTGCAGCGCCTACGCGCGGACAAGTTGCGACCCAGGAACGGAACCCCCACCCCTCCGCCCGCCTCCCCCACACCCGCACCCCCCGGGGGCGCCTAGCCACTGTGATAATTAGTATTGCCAGATCTAATATACAAATTCGGGACTTTTAGTTAAAAATCGATACAAACGATCGAACGAGACATGGAAACTTGCTCGGGAACTGTGAAGTGTTTAACACGCGGGTAACATTTACTCAGAATGGAAGTCCCGCGCTCGGGGCATCTGGCAACACTAGTGATAATGTACATTCCGCGGCATGTAGCGACGCTCTCCCTTACTTACTGTTCCGCTTCATCACCAAATATCACAGTTACCTACCGGTTCAATACACAGCTTTACTAATATCACAATTACGCCCATAAGTAGGCCGTTGCATTACACTTTCGGAGTTATTTTGAAATTACTAGAAATTTTCCAAATTGTACTTTTTATATGAAAAAAAAACTAGTTACAATAATTTTCTATAAAATGGCAGGCATTATTTTAAAACTGAGTTTGCTTTTTCAACTTTCAGTTGAATAGTAATTTCAAAGTAACCCCGAGCCCACCCCATCAGGTTGTCCAAAATTACTTACCCAAATCTCCGGAAGCCTCAGTTTTTGACCTTATTTAAGTGAAGACAACCAAAAGTTAATGTTATGAAATCAACTATTTAAATATTTTTAAGTAAATAAAAAAAACAATGTAACAAATTAATTATAAAGCTAGCTATGAGTGTAAATGTTATCGATTTTTAAGTGAATAAACGCAGATTTTGTGCGGTGTTTTTATAATTAGATAGGTAATATATTGAATGAAGTAACTAGGGACGCTCACGTCGCGCTATCTGGCCGTGGCCGTCTGGCTGGGGCGGGCGGAAGTATCGGACTTGTGCAATTATTATTTTGTATAAAATAGTAATGTAATGTGTGTGTGTGTGGGTCTGTGGCTCTGTGGCTCATGGCCCTGTGGCTCATGGCCGTGTGGCCCTGTGCGACACGTGGGTCTCCATATTACTAAATGTGATATTTAGGTATTACGAGTGCGGTTTGCGTTACGCGCGAGGTGTTTACACCGACGCGACGTGCGTCTTAGTGAACTTATATATTTTATGTACCATTATTGTATCTTAAGAAGATATATTCTTATTTTTCATGGTCCAAGTTTTAAATGTTTTATCGACTATACAAAAATATGAATAATCATTATTATATTCTTGTCAACTTTAAAATTATTAACCCAAAAAAAATCCTCAAAAAAAATTGATATCTTCACATTTGTGACATTTTTTGGTGTTCAATCGAAGTATATAAATAAGGTGGAAATGAAAAATGTATACGCTCTGACAGAATAAATTTTAGGTAAAAATATTTGGATATAAAATTATCATACGATTATTAGTAAGTTACGTGTAAATGTGCGCCTCATGGAAATTAAGTCTTTGTATTATGTATGTAATTGAAATATACATATATTATATACAAGTTAAAAAAAAATATTATTGTCGTACATTTTTCTTCGGAGACCACGAGGGTGTGAAAATAGAACGGAGTCTGACTTCGACATTTCGACGCGTAATATCATTCTATTGAGGGCCCGAAAATAGCTATATGTATATAATAAAAGAAGATAAATGTTTATATAATCTGTAAGTAAAATTGTCATACATATCCTATGCCGAGATGTCGAACGCACACTCTCAAGAAAAAAAACAAACAAAAAATTTTATATTCGAAATTTAAAGTAGTCGATAGCATGTTCATTGTTTCCTTTCCCTGTGTATAATTTTTGACGTATTTTTAGCGTTTCTCGAAAGATCTATTGTAACTGTTACTGCATTTATATTGTATTGGTAAAAGACTTAGCGTTTAAATGACAGACATGTCACGTGACGTCGCGTCAGACCGCATTTCAAATGTTCCAAATTTAAAAATCGAACAACTTTTTTTTTAATACGTACACAACGCCCGTTTGTTGATAGCTTAAAAAAGGTTATTTTGTGTAAGTTGTACAGATAATAGGATGGGACAATTTGCAAAGAATTTAGATGTTAAACATTCCGCTTAGAATGTTACTAGATTTTTTTTTTAATTAATATAAATATTTTTCACATCGGGAACAAATGATTACGTTATTTAATCTTATTTTGTAACGTTAGTTAATTTTTAAGTGTCTTATTTTTAACCTTATATATGATTATATTATATTGAGATGTTATACATGTCATTGTTTTGTGCAAGTGTTTGGGGTTCGATTCCCGGTGTAAAAGAGAGTTGCGACTGATATGTAGAATAATGCCGAGTAGTTGCTCGGTCGGTCTGTACAAATGGTATACGCCTTAACATTTTAAATGTTATTGACAGTGATCTCCGCAAACTTCACCTTATGCGACGAGACAACACGCTGTTTACTCGCGAAGGATTTTTTGTATACTTTTTTACTTAAAATCAAACAGTACCATGCCTTCGCCTTATATTTTGTACTGGCAACTCTACTGGTAATAAGTTTACATCCATTGCTTCAGAAGAGATCACTGTGCTATTAGTGAATGGTTTTATTGTATATTCAATCATTTTTCCACCTAGTTTTAAGCATTTTAGTTGATAATGTAGCGTAATTTTGAATTAATAGGTAGGAGGTAGTAATTTTTTAATATTTTGTTAATTTTTTTTTCGTATTCGTAATAAATTCCTTAAGAGTTAGGTTAATCTTGAACGGTCCTCGACTGGTCTAGGAACAAAAAGACAATGAAGGGAAGTTGCATTTTTTTTACTAAAAAATCATAAATAATCTATAAGATTTCCGCGAATTAACGTGCAATCTAACATTAACGCGTTTCAAACGAAATCGTCGCTCAATAAAGTTTATATTCGTAGCTACTTTGTGCGAAGATATCGTTATCATACACTTATAATGTGGACGCGCGATCTGTTTAGTAAAAAATATCAAAAACAGAGAAAACTATTTAAATAACCTCAACCATATTTTAATAATCAAAGCCGACAGATCGCGGGGTCCATGCTATAGGTATTATATGATCGTTATACCTTAAAAGACATTGCCAGATCTTATTTCTAAGCATTCATAAACACATGTTGTTTGTTTGTGTGACTGTATCCTTGTATATACCGCGTCCAGTCGCAGGCGACGTGACACGGTGCTCTGCCCGCAGTTACACCGTGTCGCCTGCGCCTCCAACCGGACCGGCCTTTAGGTCGATAATGTAAGCTTCGCCTATTGTTTTCCTTCTGTATCTATGTACTTTTATATGGATAATTCCTTATTACACTAGATATACGGACGGACGGGAGATTTTGTTTTAAACAAAGAAGCGGTTCGGACGTGGGTTGCCACGTTAAAAATATGTACAACACAAAGCATTTAATTTTAGACATATTAAATATAATGTTAACTTTATTAAAGATAATAGTGTTATTCGACATATTTTCTTGGTATTTATTTGTGAAAGTAACGCTTAAATTCACATCACATACTTCATACTGGGGAACATTGCTTTTCTAATGTTTGCTGATAAAATATATTTTTATTTGTCATCGGGTAAGAATTTTTTCTAATGATTTAGGTAACGGACCAATGTAAAGATAGAAACTGTTATTCCCTAAACGATTTAACGGCTCGTGTTTTTTTATAAACCGAAAGGAACTATCGAGATCAAATTATAATATTGTTATTTAATTATTGAGTACAAGTTTTAATGGAATATTTTTTTTTCAATATACATTTACTCACCTCTTTAGTTTTTGTTATTTTTGTTCCTTTAGTTTTTATTGATATTGTTTAGTTTTCTTTACAGATAATCGATTCGTTGATTTAAGCGACTCAATAATATTTTTTTTATTATAGACATATATTATTCACTTCCTCAGTAGTAGAGTGATGTTTTATACACTATGTCTACATTGTCTCACACCTGTTGCGGTAAATTGTAAAAAAAATGGAGTTTGGTACGCGATTGGCACAGCACTTGTATTGAATCTAGTCAAATTTTAGATGAGAAAATTTTTTTGGAAAGCTAAGCTTACGAGGATTCGACTGACATTTTGTAAAAAAAAAGATTTAACGTCCAAAAACGTCGCTAGGCGACTTAAAAGTTGATTTGAAAATGTGGAATTGTACACGTGTATGTTTGTAACTGTTTCTTACGTATAACTAATGTATCGTAGCATCATTTGAAGTGAAATTTTTTTCATATTATGTAATACCTTTTATCTATAAGATCTTTATGTCTTACGTTATATCTTAACGAAGTGGATGGTTAGGCAGGTGTAAGAATGTGCGAGGATATTTAAAACCTGTATACAATAAATTTCTTTCATTTGTTGAAAATTTATTTTGTTTTATTTATGCATAAAACCCTGTCTTTTGGCTTTTAATATTTAAAAAAATAACTACATTATATACCGAATCACTAAGTATATATGTACCTATATACATATATGGACTAAAAGTTTTTTTCTTATTTGTAATTTTACCATTTAAAGGAATATTATGATTATTAATCATCCATTATTTGAATAAAAATGGTAAATAAAAGTAAAATTTAATGTTCAAACGTTTATTCTAAAATTTTTTACGAGGGCGGAAACGTCAGCAGATATTCAAAAAAAGTTACCCTCTTAAGAAACTCATAAATTACGATCACAATAGACCAGAAATGGTCGCAGTGATATAAAAAAGCCGCCAAACAGAAATAAAAAAAAAACTCATAAATTAACATCAATCAATATGGATAACACAATTACATATGATTAAATCGAAAATTATAGGATAAATAAAATAAAGGCTTCCATACAACCACATGTTCATATACGACACAATAACCTCGAAACCTAATTTCGAAAATACATGCCCGCTAATTTGACAACATCCGCCATCTGTCAATTCGGAAATAAAAAAATATGAATAAAATATATAGATAAAATATAATAAGATCTGTAAATTAACAAAGGAACCGCAAATGACATACGCAAAATAATTGTTTTGGTTTTACAATTTCGTTCGTGAAGTATTTTTCGTGCCACCCTCGGGGCAATGGCACTTGGTTCCAAGGCCGT